ACTCACAAACATCACACACTTTCGCATATATTTTTTTTTATTAAGATACCTATCATTTATGAATTTAACGGCTTTTGACACTTGACAGTTTGACATTCACATCTAAGCTACCCCAAGCGCACGCGACGTTGCGGTAACAGCGGTAAATAATGGCGTCCCCCCTCCCCCCGATTATACAGCCGACACCCACTGCGTTTTACTGACCTTATCAAAGGTATCATGTATTTACAGAAAAGTGCAATCACAAAAGTGCTGGGACTCCGTAGATCATAAATTGGTATTTGAAGTCCTTACCCCACATTGGAGTGTTATATTTCGACTACGGAACTACAGCCCGGATAGCTCAGTCGGTAGAGCATTGGACTTTTAATCCAAGGGTCCAGGGTTCAAGTCCCTGTTCGGGCGATTCTTTTTGCTTTTTGTCAATATTTTTTTATCTATTTACTGCTCGCCAAATTGTATATATGTCTATAAGACATAATTATATCGAGATAAAAGAGAAAAATTATTACTCTTTTAGGTTTTTTATAAGCGTACTACTACTAGCTACCCGCCCCCGGCTTCGCACGGGTGCAATTAGAAACCTCTAAATTTATCAGTGTCTCCATTATATTATGCATGTATTATACATATAAACCTTCCTTAAGAATCACTATCTATTAAAAAAACCGCATCAAAATCCGTTGCGTAGTTAAGATCTAAGCATACACAGGGACAGAAAGACGGCGGATAGCGACTTTGTTTTATACTATGTAGTGATATTTAAGTTGCAATGTATGTAGATTGTAGATGTATGATGTACCATCTATCTCGAAGGGATCACCGGTGACCGCTCTCCATTAACTACATTGTAGACCTTATTTCCAATGTTTAGAGACTACTTTTGTATGAACAGATTTAGGGTACCATATTTCAATGTATGTGTGCGGTTGCGTGAAGTCGAATTTTGCAACTAAATTGGGTACTTTTATTAATCAAAAATAAATTATTTCGACTGTTCAATACAATAACATATTAAAAAACAATCACACTTTCATTCATTGATTTTATGACCAACTTAATTTTAGTATATTTCCAGCAAATTTTTAAGAAATAACTATGCTGTTTGACGCTAAAAAAACGTGACGTCACAATACACAATCTCTTACAAAATTCATTGAAAACTATCGTTTTTGACAGTTCGAAAAAAGTATTGAATTTGACTAGTTGACAAGTACACAATTTTGAAGAATAAACTACGGAGAATTTTATTTTTACATAACTTACATAACATAACATAACATCACGCCTTTTATTCCCGAACGGGTAGGCAGGGGCAGAGGTGTACATTGTAACAATGTAATACCCACTTTTCACTATTTATGTTATGAGTCCCATGTAATAGGGAGGGAGCCTATTGCCATATACCGGGCACATTTTCAGGCCCCGTGCTACTACTGAGACTTTTAAAAAAATCAGTAATACTTTGCCCAACCCGGGAATCGAACCCGACACCCCTTGCCCGGCAGTCGCACTTGCAACTAATCAGCCAACGAGGCAATTTTTTTTTAAATTCAGTAATAATTAAAATAGATAAAGTATAGTCCCAATTTCTACTTACGATCGACTCTGATGATTCAGAGACTGTCTCTGGTGAGCCAGAAGACTCTTTCTCGTGGAATATGATAGTCCACACGTCTCACAGAAGAATTCCTTGCTCTCTTCTGTCTGAACATGTTTCTTCTTGTGTTGAGATAGCGTATATGGACTACTAAATATCGAAGTACATTGATCGCATGAAAATTTCCGGTGTATATGCTTTCTGTAATAATAATAAATAAATAAAATTTATTTTCAAACATAATAGTCTGGAAATGTACAGTTTTGCTTAAAGCTAAATAAAGTTCACAATATAAGGTGCCTGAACTATGAAATCCTGTGTTTCAGGCGAGGTTAGGTAATAGTAGTAAACATTGTTAAATAATCACTAGTACTTAAATGCTAATAAGTTAGGGTAAATTATGACAATATTTAATTATATTTATGCATCAGTATGCATTATTAAGTATTACTAAAAACTATAATTAAGTATTACTTTATATCAGTATATAAAGTAATACTTAATTATAGTTTTTTACGTTTACGTAAATAATAAATCATAGTTTTTTTATTACCGTCCGTTCTGTGCCACTACTGAGATTTTTTTTAAAAAACCTTTTAATATTTTGCCCGACCTGGGAATCGAACCCGAGACCCCGTGGCCGGCAGTTGCACTTGCAACCACTCGGACAACGAGGCAATCATTAGAAAAAAATTTTTTTTTAAGTATATTAATTTTGGTACTTACATCATATGCGTTCTAACAGCGGCTTGGTTGTTATAATTCTTCCCACAAACGCTGCACGAGTAGGTTCGGTTCCCGGGTCGTGTCATATGAAACCTTTTCAAATGTTGATGTAGACCACTTGAATCTCTGTAAAAGATACATATATTTATTTAGTAAAATATGAATTATGGAGTTTCTTGCTCGTTCTTCTCCATTCGAATCTACATTTTGGAATGAGCACCTAGCTTCACCTAGCTTCACTGACGGACTGACAGACAGACTATTATTTATTTTGTATTTGTTGACGTTTCAAAAGTACTAAATTATGGTTTAACTCGTCGAGTACCGGTTTTGTAGACACAATTATAGAACAATAGGTTGCGGTCACCGGTGACCGCTTGGTGTTTGACAGTTTAATTGAAATAAATGCTTTGACTTTGACTTTGACTTTGTTCATTACGTTTTCCTCCACCATTTCTCAGAGTTATCTAAATAATCTTAGAAAGTACCTTACTCAGAAAGTTCACATTGGTGATTGCCAAGTTCCGCATGCATGCATGAGTAGCGGGTCACAACAACATCAACAAACTACTATTGCTTTTTAAACTCATAGTAGAGGTACAGTAGTATCTAAATGGCATATCGTGAGGCCGAGCGACTCCGCTCACAAAGCGGAGTTTCAAGTACGTAATGACATTACAAACTTCGCGACTGTGACGCTGCTGCGCAAGTGTATGACGACAATGTTTACTGAGAATGCATTTTGCAAGTAGGTGAGGAGACCTTTGTCTTGCAATACGTTAAATAGCTAGTTGTAGTTATGTAGTGACTTCTAATTAATGTTTATAAAACTACTATAGGGCTATTGTCGACAGTTTTTCCCGTCTGAATTTCCCGTGAAAGATGCTATTTTCCCTACTCTCAAATAAATGCTAAATTTGTATTTGAATTTTCGTGAGTAGCGGAATGCTGCTCATGAATATGAGCCTACAGCGTGGCTTGAAACTAGTCGAGTTTCTCGTCAAACATATCTGTTTAACGTCACAGTCACGTGAGCAAGCCATATTAGCAAAACATATTAAATAATTGTATGTTAAATTATTAAGGTAATTGATTCAGTAGATATCGTTACAAAAAGGCAAAAACATATATACTTTTCCACTTATAATATTAGTTCTATAAAGTGATCGTGTTTAGCAACTACATAATTACATTAATAAATATTCATAAATCAAGAATATTCAGTCTATTTACATACTTTTCTTCCTAACATTAAATAAAAAGTCACAATTAGATACATGAAATAAGCAAAGATAGAAATCGCTTGCGAGAGTGTATAAATAAATTAAGTAGTACCTACTATTTGAAGCTGGTTAATTACATCCAATGAAATATGTTAGCATCATATGTACCTACACATTTACTGGCTTCAAACAAATACCTTGTGAACAAACATAATAATAACCGAAGAACTAAAATAAAAATACATTAATTTAACGAAAAAAATAGGTACAAACATCGTTCGACTAAATTCGACTTAGATAACATATTCGAGAGATTTTTAGAGATCTAATATTCAAATACTCACAAACATCGTACTTAGACAATCACATATCAAATGAATTACGTTACAAGGCTCATGTAACTGGTCGATAAAGTAATTTCGAAACACGAAGGGACTTATAATCAGGAACAGAATGTGCAACTGTCAGAGGGGTTTTTTTTAAGGGGGCAAAATCATCGAATTACTTCTCCCGCCTGGGTGAGGCGGGAGGGAGTGTCAGACTCGTTTTGACTAAAAACCACCCCGTTCCTTCTCCTGCACGTCGAGCCGGAGCCCCGGTTACCCGTTAGGTTGTCCGCGACAACTGTCAGAGGAGTAAGCGTTATACACAAAAATATTTTAACCCGCAACAGCTCATAACTTGTGCCAATCCATAAAGTGACACCCGGGGCCGTACCTACTTCTCAGAAAACTATTTAACTAAAAGGTACACCGTTTGAAAACATTTCCTTAAAGGAATTATTAAGTACTTAACTCCGGAGTATGAGCGAAATTGTTAGCGGACATTATACTTTGATAATAGCCAATTTTACGTAGAACTTTCATTACATTTTCTTCCTCTGGGCATTTTTATTTCGCGTTCACTTTGAATTTGAAATAAGTCTGTTTAGATGTTGACTAAGTTTGACGACCTTTAACTTGGTTGGTTGGTACTTTTATTATATTTACATAAAACGATCGTGATCTGGAGTTTGATTCTCAAATCAGATAAATCTCTAATATAGCGAAACAAGATTATGACTTGTGAACAGTGTAACTATACACTTGACATTTTTTTAAAATAATATATTGTATGTTAGTAAGAAAACTCACGCTTCGCATTAACCTCTTGACTGCCGGTATATAAGACACAATAGAAAATATAGTATGTCTCGCATGGATCTGCGTTCCAGCACAAGACGCAGACGGGTTAAAAGCCTTGATATCACAAACCCCAATTGTGCCCCCATATAGCTTGAAACTAGTCGGACATTTTTCGAACAATTATCTATTTTGAACTATTATGAAAAGGCTATAATTTCGAATGTCAGTTAGACCAACTTAAATTAACTTAGCAAGCTACTTTTAGACACACTGCATTCTGCCGTCGCATTGAGGTCGCGCTTTTTAATGCCTGCATCGATTCTACGCCACGACACTCGCCTCCGAAATACAAGTGGGCTAAATGCTAAATGAGACGTGCATAAGATAAATACAATACAAACTCTTTATTTTGCATCATACAAAATACAAAGTACACAAACATTTCAAAATTAGTTATAAACATAACATCATCACGCCTTTTATTCCCCGAAGGGAGGCATAGGTGCACATTATGCCACTGTACAATGTAACACCCACTTTTCACTATTTATGTTATGAGTCCCATGTAATAGGGGGTGAGCCTATTGCCATATACCGGGCACAATCCCAGACTCCGTGCTACAACTGAGTTTTTTTTAAAACCCAGTAAAACTTTCCCGGGAATCGAACCCAAGACCACTCGGCCAACGAGGCAGTCATTAGTTATAAAATAGAGGTAAATATAGATAAAGGAATGGAAATTAAATGTGGGAGATCCATGCGTGGTCACCAACGAGCCGGCTTAGCTGGAGTGACACCACGACCTCGCAGAAAATTGGCGTGAAATAACGCTAGCTTTGTGTTTTCTCGTATGAAGAGAGATTTGTTTTTATATTTGATGTGCCGACGTTTGACCTCTACGCGCCTGGTGGTAAGCGATAATGAGATCGACGATGGAGCACGAGCATGATTAGTGAAGGCCAACCCTGCCTTGTATTTTATTATTGGGTTCCTTATTATAATTAGCTCTTTGACTTCATAATCAAACGGTCGAATAAATTAATTTCCTTCAACCAATCAACATCAAACATCATGAGCGGTCACCTCCAAAGTACCAATAGCGGTAGGAATCAGTCGGCGCCTCACTGCGTTACTGGTCAGTGGTCAGTGCGGTTGTCGTGGCCTTAGCAATCAATGCGCTGTCAACAACAACATAGGTGGGTTAGGTTATAACATTTATGGCCTCAAATGCCTTGTTAATGAAATGGTAGTTGTCGTTCGGAAATAAATTCATATAATAGCGGCAGATTAGAGTATATTATTGTCACCCTGCCTTACCGCGAATGTTCTAAGAGCTTACTAGGGGACGATTGACTCACTGACTAGGCAATAGGACTGTTTGATAAACCTGGACTTTTTAAATTGTGATCTGCAACTCATTTGTCGAGTGTGGACATTATAGGGTCATAAAGATCATCACAGATGGGGCCTAATAGGGCTGATACGGAGCCGCGGAAGACTTAACAGGTTGCCGGGGCTCCGGCTCGAAGTGCAGGAGAAGGAACGGGGTAGTTTTTAGTCAGTAAGAGTCTGACACTCCCTCTCGCCTTACCCGGGCGAGAGCAGTCATTGGATGAAGTGTGGATATTATGACATTTCCTCTTACCTATATAGGAGTTCTACCAGTCCATAATAGGACTTTTACGGATTAGTTGGCGATTATGAAGGAGAGATTATAT